AATTTGAACAGATTTTCAGTAGTTTAAATAAATAATGACCTAACAAATAAAAGCTATGTAATCAGTCTCTTTTCGATTCAAAAAAATTATCAAGCATTTAGAGACTCAAAATACCTCACTTTCCCATCATCTCACTGCAATACCTTTATACGCAAAATTTATAATCCAAAAAATAGTGCATCTGTAAAAAGCCTATACATAGCTGTACTCGCGAAAAAAATAGTCTCTTTTAAATCCCTTTTATTTTTAGATTTTTATCTCGGCCTTTTTCTTTTTTTTTTTTTTTTATTTCAGAAAAGGCATGTGGCAATTCTATGGGATACCTTGTCTAATCATAGATTCAACAATTTGAAAGCTCTACACGTCTAGCGAAAGTCTTCTCAATTTTTCCTTTTTCCGCTACTATCTTGTCACTCTTTATCAGTTAATTGAAACAATCATTTTTCTTGTTCAATTATAGTCACGCGAATATTATTTAAATAAAATATCTGAGAAACAATCGTTTACTAGGCCAGCACCGGAACTTATTCATCGTTACATTGCTATAATTATAGAAATATTGTATTAAGTAAAATATTAATTAAATTATATTTAAGAAACTATTATATCAAAGTAAAATACTTGGAAAATGAATGTTTGTTAAATTAAAAGCAAGATTTATCCATAGTTGGATAACTTTGCCAAGTTATGGAAATATTAAATAAAATATTAAATTTTCTTATATAAAATGTGATTATATGAACATATTATATGATATTAGAGAAAAATATTGCTCAACCTATGGAAATACCATTTCTATGACATAAAATATTTGACAAATGTTTATTTATTAAATAACTAGTAAAACTTATCCATCTCCACTTTCAATCGATCCCCAGGGATTATTGAAAGTTTCTCGTTTTATTTCTTTCGCTACATTTCCGTCGTACATGCGACATGCGTTTATTTATTTTCCTTTTTAACAGAAATATCGGAAAAATACGCAGACACGTGTGATTATATACGGGATAGAGTAAAATTGGCACGGTTATTTGGTTTTGACAGAAAGGAAACGATTGTTTCAAGTTTAACGCGAGTTTGACGTTCCCTCGATTAGATGGCCGTTCAAAAAATGTAAAGTTTGAGACGAAGAATTGGGTCATTTTTTCCCCTCCCTGCTCACGTCGTCTGTGACGTGCAGTTCTGGATTACGTGACGGGTTAATGGAAAATATGAGAACGAACAGAACCAGGCCGAGTTTTGTATCGCGTTTGCTATAAAGTAATTTTCATAGTTCGCGTGATTTCTCCTTTCACGGTGTTGCAAGGGCTCCATCCTGACCGATTGCCTTCGTATAATTTAAACAACGATATGGATCTTTCACTAAAAATGGTTGCGAGGTTTCTCCTTGAAATTTGTGTTTTTTCCTTCTTCTTCTTCTTCCTCTTCTTTGTGGCAAGTCGTTGAGAAAGATGCAAAGTAAAAATAAATTGCGTCGTCGAGGCTTTTAATGCATGGCAAGGCCGCTATTATTAGCCTGAAATTACTGCAAAACGGTGCATTTTGTTATCAGGCTTGTCAACTTGTAGAGAATTAGTTAAAAAGTAATTTTCAAAAATATGTAGCTGATAGTGGAGAAATATTAACGTTCATGGTAACAGTTTGAGTGAATTTTTAAATACTGTTTCTTTAAACAATTCTTTAAATCTAATCAGACAATGATTTGTAGTAAATTTTTCAAGAATATTTCATTATACTATATATAGTGTACAACATGAAGAACTTTTGATGAATTAATATTACAAAATTTCATTGTTTCAGAAACACAAGAAATTTAAGAAGAACACAACGCAATTTGAGCTAAAAATGAAGAAACGAATACTCAAAAACTTAATTATTCTCAGAATATTATGAACATACTGTGTGTAATGCCAACGATATTCCAAAAACATTTCACCGTGCAAGAAACACGAAATATGCAAAATTCCCAACCGATAGCCTAAATCCTAGCCATTTCCAAAAGATCGTCAAGCTTCATTGTTTAAAACGTACATAACCATAAACGTAGCATCTGCAGTCCTACACAATAATTTCTCATGGTACTCAAGCGAAAGCAAGTAGAAATCCCACTATTCTCTCATATTGCTCTTCACAGTATGTGCATTTATGTTCATCTTTGCATGGAGCTCATTAAAATAGCGACTTCTCCTTCAGCCTCGAATGCGGTTGTCCTTTCACACTAACCGTAAAATCAACAGATTTGGCCCTTTTCCTCTCAGCACATTAATTACTCTCAGGCATTAGCCTTTCATGGAAACGCTCGATCCCTGGTCATTTATCAACAATTACAAACGACCTATCAACAACAAATCAACGCCACATAGGTAAAGTACAATATGTCAATGTTTGAAATTCTATGCCAACTGCCTGGCTAAAAAGGATCAACGTAGTGTGAACGAAGCGTTTGACATACAGTAAGATTTTTCTTTGTCTGTATGCAAATTCCTTGCACGAATCAACGTCTAAAAGTCCATTTCCATTCGGTTGATTTAATTAGATATAAGCGTGTTTCAGTAAAGGACTGTGCAAATGAATCAAAGAGACTTCAGTCTTCTGACACGTGGTGTCCCAGTGATGCAACATCAACGAGAGAGCTTGCAGGTTTACAATTATGTAAAATTGGTAATTAAACGAAACCACCATCGTCTGAATTCTCTTGTCTGACCCAGGGGCATCTAAAATCACCCAAATTTCTATGAGACATGGCCAATCGTGATAGTCTGACTGTTCAATTTCTACTAAATACATAAAAATTCATGTTCTACGACTTACCACCTTCTTACATCTCCATCAGTCGATCGAGGAACCCTTCAGATCCATAGACCAAGCTATAAATCCCATACACGTCTAACAACCAACCTAATTCAAACCACCTTGAAAGAAGCCAACGATGAAACCAAAACGCTGACCAAATTATTCTATGTTATCTTTGAGTTATGTTCGCAATAAATTAACTGCAGGTTAGCTCATGATCCCAGTCTGTCTACCAATCACCAACTCCCATTTCAGTCGCCTAATTCGGCGACTCAGTGGTCTGTAACGTTCGCCTAACACCGACATAGTATGGTCGTCCACGTTGGAACTAGGTGCCGGAATTGTTTCAAATGGTCAGGTCCGTGGATCGTGTGCAGCACTTTCGTTTCAGCAGAGATTAGTCGAATACTTCAAAGGAACCGACGAATCAGCAACGTGTTCTGTATTTCGTTGGGGACAAAAGGGAATCACCGGTCTTGGTCGTAGGCGATATAAAGTCCTTGGGTTTTATTTGATGGCGACAAGTGAGAAACGCGGCAACCAGACTGCGAATAGCTTAGAACTGCTAGAATGTTGAGTCCATTTTTGTGGACTTGGGGGAACTTGACTAGCAATCGCTAGTCTCTGCGAGACCTGATTTAAAGCCCTTAAAACTCTACGCCCAATAAACATTTTTATTCATATCTGATGTACATTAATATGTGATTTGAGAGTTTCTAAATTGGCTGAAGAGAAGATGACGAAGAGCACAGATTCTTATATATTGGATTGACAACTGAGTGAAACCCAATATTTAGAAGAAATTTAAGAACAATTAAAATTACCAGTTGATAATGTACCATTAGAGATTTATAGGAGTAATTTGTGAGATTCCTGAAGGCAGTCAATAATAATTAGCAAACTATAACTCTCTATGTACTTGGAAGAATCTCAACGTGGGTTCAGCACGATGACTGTCAAAATGTCCAATTGGTAATTCCATTTGACAAAATGTCTATTCTACAACAATACCGTCTCTACGAATTTCTTCTTCTCGCCAGCCTGCATGTTTTATTGCAAACATTTACTGAAAAATGTTACTCGTGAACCGGCCTGGAGCCACTTGAACAATGGCAGTGTCTATGCTCTAATTGGGTATTGAAGCGTTTCTTTTTCCTTGGTGGTGGATTTCGCTGCCTCTTCAGAACTGTGCAAGAGCTATCCACGAAATTCCTGACTCAACATTGAGAGACACCTGAAGAGGTGGAGAAGTTGGATCTTGGAAGAAAGAGGCAACTCCGGATGCCAAAAGCAACGTGCTATCTCATTCCCTCCCATTTTTCCTTCTCTTCATCTTTTGAGCAAGAGACCACAATCCTGAAGTTTTTCCAAGTTTTTGATCAACAGAGGAACAAGACACAAGGAGGGATTCAGAGGTGTTTAACCAGGCTAAGAACCCTCGAGCAACCGGCAAGCCGATTTACAGCGGAGCTGCTTTTGAAGATCCTCGCAGGAAAGAATATTCTGTGACCTGGAATTAACCGGCTGTTCATCCTTGTACATGATTTTTAATCAGAGCCACGAGACACTGATAAATTGTCAGTAAAGAAGCAGTCTTGTAATTTGTCTGAGATTCCTTTGCAGGTCCAGAAGAATTCAAAGTAGTTGGAGAAAATTATTAATAGTTCTTTTTTGGCGGTTTCTCTGGATGATTCAAAATAGTCTGAGAATTTCTTAACGCCTCTTTTACTTTCCTAAAAATAGTTTTAAGCAGAGCAGTTTTTAAGGGAGATTCATTATGGTTTTAAGAGCGAATTGAAGAATGGCCATAGTTTGTCAAGGTATTTGAAATACTTCTTTTCTCAAGCTTTTCCAGGATAATTTTAAGCGATTCGAGGCTTTTTTTATTAACATTTTATTGAACTTTTAGGAATAGTTTAAGAAAGGAATTTCTGGGGATGGTTGGGAATATTTTCAGACTTTTAAGAATAGTCCAAGAGAAGAATTGTTGAGGATTTGTCAGAACTTTAAAGATAGTCTAAAATGTAATGATTTGAAATATAGTGTAAAGTAACCTTTTGATACTTTTGGGTGAGAGTAGTTTAGAATAGTTGTAGAATCCACAAACTGTGCTTTCTGAATCTTATAAACAATTCTTATCGACTGAATGCACGAAGGACAAAATATAACATAATTTTCAAGTACTTCTTTTTGCTTGAAAAACTTACCATCATCAATTTCTCGTACTCTTCCTCGATCACGGTGCCATTGTAGTACCGGTTGATAGACTTGGTGTCCGGGTAATAAAAGCCACGTTTGCAGATGCATCGGTAGCTTCCACGACGGAATCCAAGTCCAGGGATGGCGATGCACTGCAATTGAAAATTACAATTAGACGTGAACTTCGTTCAATGCCAAATAAAATATTAAATAACTGATACACAAGAAAAAAAAAGGAAAGGAAAAAATTTGGCGACTAAAATATCAACATTTTACCAATAATACAAGCTAGCAATTTTTATTGATAAATCTACTAACCTCGGTGGTGCGTTTCTTGCATTTGTCACTGGCTGCAAAGATGTTCAACTGAGTGGATCCTGGTGGCAGAGGGCACTGATCTATGTCAAGTCTGCGCAGATCAATGTCTATTCCACTTGTCCCTCTGAAAAAAGAGAAAAAATATGAAATTATTCGTACGATTGTCTACACATATTTTTCACGTAACCATCTTTCAAGAACAATTAACAAAATGTATTCATATAAAATAAGAAGGAAGATAAATTGCTAAGTAGACAGGACGTAGATAGAGTCAAAGTGGCAATGGTTATTCGCTGTGACAGGTTGAACCAAAGGGTAGTGGTAATTGACTCATAGTGGAGAGAGGACAAGGTTATTCCTATCGAAATTCATGCTTGTGACCGGCATAATGGACGGCAGTGTCAAACGACCAAGCATGCCACGCGTAAAGCTATTGATCGTTGCATCGCTTTATTGTACAATAAAGCATAGTTAACGTCTATTCTGAAAGTGAGGATCCCCTTGCCTGAAACACGATATTCTAGACTTAAGTAAGGCTAATTTTTCAGAGTGGATATCGGCATTGAGTTAAGAAAATAGAAAGGTTCAGTTAACATGTTTTCACATCATCTGTTTGAGTTATCGTTTTTCTATACTCAATAAGATTATATATATGAATATATATTGAGTATAGAAAAACGATAACTCAAACAAGCTTGGATATATTAATTGGACTGATTGAACAGTATAATTGGTAAACGTGAGTCGAATATATAACATGAACTAATTATACGAACAAATTGCCTGATTCGTAATAGAAACTATTGATTTTACTATGATCTTTGGATTTTAATACTTTCATGTAGATTTCATTTTGAAAAAGGAAAAAGATCTACAACGTTTCAGGAATTGTTAGCTTTTCATTTTCCATTATTTCCCTTTCTTTTCGTTTGAATTTTCCTTTATTTTCTTCTCTTTTCCTTCAAATCTTCTGTGTTTTTTCATTTTCTTTCAGTTTCCCTGCCACCGGATTTCCCTTAATTTTCTTTTATCTCTCTTACTTTTCCTTAATTTTTCCTAACTCACAATTTTCCTTTGTTTCCCTTTCCTCTACTTTAAATTTCCCATTGATCGATTTCCCTTCTGTTAGCTTTAAATTTCCCTTCCCTTCATTTTCAATTTTCCTTCCCTTGCCTACTAATTTCCCTTCGCTTTTCCTAAATTTCCCTTTCTTTCGTTTTCTTTTATTTTCCTTCAGACTGTTCCATCTTTCCCTCGCTTCTTCCATTTCCCTCTTCCATTTCTCAATGCTGTTTTTCACTTGTTAATTTCCTTCACTCTGAACTCCCCTTTTATGTGCACTTTTACGATCACAGAAACGCATAACAGTATACTTTGCAAACGTTCATGCACGCGCATTAAAAAAGCCTGGCTGGCTCTCGTGTCGTGTAGCTGTGACAGACACGATACACCTGTTCAAATAAAATACCTGTTATAGCGCGACATGGACCACGGAACGTGGGCGTTGATCAATTTACTTCGCCTCTGTGAAGCACGTGCTCCGTATCGCTAATGACAAGACGCGAGTTCTAACCAGTGTATGCAACGGGATCAGCAATATTCATTACAGTAGTAACAGAACAGACACGAGTTTGTCAAGAGCGTTATCAGTCGTGGTGACAGTATCCACTGACAGAGCAAACTTTGCTGTATGAATTTAATTTTTCATTTTTCATCGCGGCTTCATTAATCGCTTAGCGATGACGAGTACACCAGAAGGTAGAATAATAAATAGGTGGATGACAGTCTTGATTTTGGAACGTGATTTCTTGACAAATGAATAAGACACGAGTGAAAAAGGATGGTATTGTCTGTAATCTGGTTGGCGACTAAGTGATTGCGGGTTTTGTCAGTACCACTTAATGACAAAATTCGCAATGAGTTAGTTGCCAAGCGTATATCACTGTCTTGTCGTTTGAAGAAGCTTTGGATATCGTTAGGTGGACATTTGACATTTTTCCACAGTTTGAAATGTTCTTCTCGAGATCTCTTATTGGCTGTTTGAATAAATTTTAATTAACCAAACCAATTTTTCAATTTCACATCACGTAATTTGATCTTAATTGAGTATCGACCGTGTCATTTACTTACAGGCCGTGCAATGTAAACTTAATTAATTAATGGAATTGGCAAATATCGAATAATCAAAGAAAAACACAGTAGCGTTTCTTCTGAAGAATTTCCTTATGCGGAAAATGAATTTTATTTTGCAAACGTTTAACAGGTAAAACGATCCCTTTCCATGGAAAATATCCCATCGTCTTTCAATGTGGAAGTTTGCGAATCCTGAAAAGACCTTCTTTTAGCGTGATTTCCAATTAACCTCAATTTCCCCTAATTAACCTAATCTGTGGAAACGAGACTCCATGTATTCACGGCCAGTTACGAATTAATTCAATTATTACGAACCTGTGCATTTTCTCTGTAAACTCCGACTTCCTCGATTCGAAGGATAAAACTAATGCAGAATTTTCCAGTCTGCTTGCAGAACGATAGTCAAATTCGATTTGTTCGTTTATTCTGAACGCAACACGAGCCTGCAACGCGTCAGGCATTTTCTTGCTTGATCGTGAAATTTCGATTCGTTTATGCACACAGGCGTCGACTTCAGAGTCAATTATCGAAATTAGTCCAGTCGATTCACAAATCGAAATAGAAGAGATAATTAAGCTTACGCGTAAAATTCCAACTCGAAACGGGTAATTATCCCGGAATAATGCGACTGGAAATAATGCAATGGCATCGAATAAAGGGAATATCTGATCTTCAGTTTTCTAGAATTTGAATATGCTCGTTTTAGGTTATGTTTTAGGTGTTGTATGTTATTAGCTCTATTATCGCAGTAACGTTGAAAAGTTATTTGTTGGTCGTGCGTGTCGGTTCTCTCAGTTCTATGATAGCGGTGGAATTAGTTCAGTCCGTCTAACTGGAATGCAGCTTGGACCTAGCCGTGCTTCATTTTCTCTTGTTTGAAGGTTAGTTTTAGTCAAGTTGCAAACGTTGCAAAACCACCAAATTTGCGTGAAATTAACCGTACTTAGCTGGCCTAACTTAAAACCTCATTTAATTATACTTAATTGCACTTAATATAAATTTAATTTGAAATAACTTTCACTGCATTTAACTTATGTCTGAATGTACTGAACCAAAAACTAACCATATTTTATTTTATTTTAATATATCTATATATCAAAAGTCTGAACACTATCTGCCTGATCTCACTAGTCTGAACACTATCTATCTGATCTCACTAGTCTGATATCGCTAGTCTGAATATTACCTGCCTGATCTCACTAGTCTGATCTCACTAGTCTGATCTCGCTAGTCTGAACACTACCTGCCCGATCTCACTAGTCTGAACACTATCTGTCTGATCTCGCTAGTCTGACTTCACTAGACAGAAAGTAATTTGAAATCACGAAGAATCTTACATATTTCAGACATATTTTCTTTGTCGAAACTGAATTAAAGAATGTGAATAATAATTAGTATGTATGTAAGCATTGTAAATATTTATAAAAAATTCAAGGTTGCCAAAATGCATAGAATGCACGTACTATATGAAGACCTGTCACATGTCCAAGCGATAAAAGAAAATTCGAAATTGACAAACTATGGATTTTACTAACTTTTCTACTATACAGATACCTATACCACTCGATAGCTGTCATGTATTGCTACATATTATATTTATGCATCATATTTAAATACAAATTCATCTTGCAAAATTTATCAAATTATCATATTGTTATCTTATTTTCCTTACTATATTGCTATTTTATATTTCTTATTCTATAAATTTTCTTTCATAAATCACTGGCACGATACTCGTTAGAATATTTAGCAAGCGTAGGAAACCTCTGCTTGAGCGCTATTTGTTTAATTAGGTCCATAAAGAATTGTATAAAAATCCGTACTGTAATTTTAATTAAACGAAGGAAAGGTTAAACAGCAAAAGGAACGAATGTACGTAATCTGGGTATTTGCTAAACACGAGGAGAGACAACTTGGTCGTCCGGCTGCAATTAACAATTAATCAAGCATCCCATTGCTCTTTAGCTTCATTCAACGAAAGCGTCTAATACTTCGTTCCTCGAGTTGCGTTCAGTGAAGTTAAATTCACCGTGTTCGAGGAACGTTCCCACTGGACCAAGAAAATAACAAAAGGGAATTGTTCGCGAAGCGTCTGACAGTAAAATATTCGCCGCAAGGCAAAGGATTATAAAAACGTGAATACCAGCAGTGAAGATGCATGACTATGCTTCCGTTTTGAAACCGTGGACCTTCTGCTAGACTGCGGAAAAATAATAACCAGCCACGCGATGCCTTCGCTATACGGCGAGAGAAGCGGACATGGGACGTTTCACGCTATTACGAAGTGCTATTATACGTTGTGCCTGCGTTTTAATCATTTCTTTCGAACAAAACTTCCTTATTATATTAATTCTCTATTGTTCAATTAAACAAAAAGATCGTTCCTTCTACTGTCGTATCGTGTTATTGGGCTTGGCTGATTAACAGTAGATCTGCTCTACTTATTCCTGAATAAATGATACGTTCTAATATTAATATTTATATTAATATTCATTAGAAAATTTATATATGCCATACTACTGCTTCCGTAATATTTTTCAAATGAGACTTGGTTACTAAACTAGTTTCTGATTAGTAAATTAAATAAAAAGTTGCTTGTTGTACAGTTTTATCGAGCTCGGCTGATTAATAATAGATCTACTCCACTTTTTTCGCGATGAAACGACGTTATTCGGATTAATATTTGTTAGAAACTTGTTGAACTACCGTCTTCATAACTATTTTCCGACGAAATTTCGTTATTACGGCCGATACGTAACTGACTTATTCCACTGGCTTCGCTAGTAACTGACCCATCTGCTTTATCTGTCCAGTAACTAACCTATTCTCCTTGTCTGGTTAACCATAAGAATTGATTCCTATCGGCTGATTAAAGATTGACACATTCTCCTTGACCACAAAATGACAAACACAAGCCAGAATCAGATATTGTGGCTAGTAACTGAAATATTCCCTCGTCTCAATCAATGACTGATTTATTCTTCTAATTTG